CTTGCGCACACTGAGGCTGACCTGCAATCCACCCTAGTTCTCGTCTCAGGTACCTATCGTAGCCTGGGACTTTCCCTCAACTTTGGGAAGACTAAGGTGCTCCACCAGCCTGCCCCAGCACAAGTTGCCCCTGTTCTCCCACAAATTGTCATAGATGGTGAACCCCTGGAAAACATTGAGCCTTTCCCTTACTTTAGTAGCCACCTCTCCCGGACAGCCAATCTTGATGTGGAGATTGAACATATGATCCATTGTGCCAGTGCATACTTCAGAAAGTTGTTCCATCATGTCTTTATTGAGAGAGATCTGCGATGGAAACAATCCTGGTCTACAATGCAGTAGTCTCTTCGTTATTGGTGCAAGACATGGGTGACATACTGAATCCATTTTAAGCATCTGGAGTGGTACCAACAGTGCTGCTTCAGGAAGATTCTCCATATCAGATGGAAAGACCATCACACCAATGCCAGCATTCTCTCTTCAGCTAACATCACCAGTGGTGAGGCAAAGATTATGAAACATCAACTTTGCTGGGCTGGTCATTGTGTGCGGGTGGCTGATTCTCGTCTTCTGAAGCAAGTCCTCTTTTGTCAGATTATTTGGAAGTAACTGGTCTCATTTAAATTGAATGGTACAGTTTTTAGTCACTTATTTTTTATATTTAATTTTAATTAAATTTTAATTACTGAAATTAATTCTGTAAGGCTGAAATCCTGTCAGGAGTATTGTAATAACAGTAATCATGCCCTGCAAGAGTTAACATGTAAGACTATTATATAACAACAGAGGGCAGACTTTGATAACTAGGAATTTGTATGCAGTATTTATAGAGCAGATCAAACCTTTGTATCACAAACACTGTAACTTCTTAAAATCTAAATTGGACAAGGCAAACTCCACCAGATAGCAAGCAAAGTAAAATCCTTCTCTCCCCCCCCCCCCCCCCCCCCCGCCAGCTTTGGGATGCTTTTTATTTACTCTATCCATGAAAAGATGATCCTTGTTATCTTTCACTTTTAGTGTGGGTTGTGAGCTAAGAGCTTGCTGACTTGCTTGACAGGACAGAAAACACTAAAATTAGAGGACTGTTGTGATTTGTGCACATGTAGATTTACCATTTGATGATGATAAACATCACAGGCTTAATCCTGCAGTCATTGAAATCAGTGGCAAAATTCCATGAGTTCAGTAGTAGAAAGATCACATCCCAAATCCACTCCATTACATATTTCATCACAATTTATTCTTAATTTTGTTGAAAAATATAGGAAATCCATCCCGTTAATAAATTGCACATTGAAATTGTCTGTATTTTGAATATAGATATTTTAAAATCCAACTCCCTAAAATGGGTTTCTCTCACTCTTGTCCTGCAGCCAAAGGGAAAGCCAAAGCTCTTAACAAACCAGAGATCAATAAGCAGCGTTAGAATGCTTAAAAATGAGGTAAAATTACAAATAAACTAGTGAGAAGATGGGATGGCCTCTCAAAGGTGTGTAGTCTGATTTAGTGAAACATTACAGCAAACATTAAACTGTGTTTAAAACAGATTGATACATCTTAAGAGATTCAAGCAACACTGTCAGGTTAAAAATTTCCTTACCTGTATAAGATTTTGATTATCAAAAGCTGACTTCTAAAATGACTGCACTTTTTATTAGTGATATTGTTTGGTTTATCTTTTTTTATAAGATGAACAGTGAAAATCCTTGTCAGTTTTGCTTTGTTTGATTGGTTTCTAATCTATTTTCACATTCTGGCTTCAATGTCCTTTTAAAGAAATTTGCACTATATGAGTTGCAAACATTGGTTAGGGAAGTCTTTTTTTTTTTTTTTTTAACAGTTTCTACTGAAACTAATGAGAACATTCATATTGGACCAACAGTGGGACGAAAGCTTCTTTTTAACAAAACTTACATGGGGTTAAATTTAAAAGGACAAGACCCCTTTAACAAATTAACACATGTTGGTAAAGGAGGGTATTCCTTTACATTGGACTCTACCACTCCCCAACCCCAAAACTTCTGTTTAAAAATAAAACCGAGACAATTATACTCCAGAGCCTGAAGTATGGGGTTCTTCCATTACCTTGTATACTGGTAATCTCCCTCACCACATCCCTTCTATAAAGGGTCACCCAGGGGTGAAAGTAATTTAAAGGACTTGCCAGTACGCCGGAGTCCTGAGCAGGGGCGTGGCCTCAACAGGAAGGGGTGGGGCCTTTCAATCACCCCCGGGCCTACCAGCTGCAGAGGCGGCTGGCAGCCCTGGGGCTCAGGGGTGATTTAAAGGGTTCTGGGGCTCCAGCCACCACTACCGCAGCAGCGCTCTGGGCCCTTTAAATCACTACAGGAGCCCTGCCGCCGCTACCCCGGGGCTCTGGCAGCCTAGCTCGGGCGACGCTTTAAAGGGCCGGGACTCCCTGCAGCGGCAGGAGCCCCGGGCACTTTAAATCACTGCCAGAACCCTACAGCTGCTACCCGGGGCTCTGGCAGCGGGGCTTGGGAGGCAATTTAAAGGGACCAGGACTCCGGCCGCTGCAGAGAGCCCCGAGCCCTTTAAATTGCCAGCCTGGGAAAGCTGGTCCGGCACAGCACGGCATACCATACCAGCTTACTTTCACCTCTCAGGTCACCTCTAATGCTGCATTTCTTAATCTGAGGGCTATCCTTGAATGCGGGAGACATTTGTGTCAGTTCTTCATCTTTCATTAAAGACAAGGAAGCAGAAATTTAAAAGAAAATGTAAATGTAGTGTACACTGATTTGTATAATGTTGCAATTAACAAAATAGAACCTTATTGTCTGTCTCTGGGTACGTCTACACTTACCTCCGGGTCCGACGGCAGGCAATCGGTGTTCTGGGATCGATCCCGGAAGTGCTCGCCGTCGACGCCGGTACTCCAGCTCAGCGAGAGGAGTACGCGGCATCGACGGGGGAGCCTGCCTGCAGCGTCTGGACCCGCGGTAAGTTCGGACTAAGGTACTTTGAATTCAGCTATGTTATTAACGTAGCTGAATTTGCGTACCTTAGTCCGAAGTGGAGGGGTAGTGTGGACCAGGCCTCTTTCTACTTAGGTTCTTATAATAGCCCGGTTCATAATGGGTTACTAACACTTAGGTGTTGCCATCCCAATAAGAAAATGTTGCAGGCTTGAAGTATAGTAATTATAACAATCACAAAGATGCTTTTAATAATAGCTGTATTCATATTATGCTAAAATAAATATGGATTTGCTGGCCACAGAGTGACCCAACTAAGCCTGTAAAGGTGTCAGCTCAGTGATATCCATCATACCAAATTGCTAAAATAACTCCAGCTGTGTCCATATCAATAATATAAATAAGTTGTTTTCATTAAGTATTCCAGGGCTGTTGCCACCTAGTCTTCCACATTCAATGCTCCATCTAGACAACAATAGGTTGCTTTATTATGGTCCGCTTAGCATAGACATTGACTAATTTCAACTAGTTTTTAAAATAAAATAATCTGTTTTCTAAGACTTATTTCCCGGCATCCTTTTTGTTTCATATTGCCTATAACACTGTTCCAGAGCTGTTTTTACAGATTACATTTCCATTTTCATCAGAGATAGAAGTTGAGATGACAAACTTGATGAATGAAAGGCCATGTTCCCTTATTAAAATCCAAAAGGAAACTAATTCCTTTACATATTTCTATTCCTTGTAGTTTCTATTTTTTTTAAACCTAAACTTACAAACACAAGGGGCAGAAAGAGCTTTAAACTTTTATTCTTCCACTGCTAAAAGAACTCAACTCCAAAGAGTGAAATTGGATATAACTTAATGTGTTTTTCCCTACAGATATTTATCAGTTTTCCTTCTGGGGCAAAGAAATGTGATGCTGACAAGCAGATTTCTAACACAGTTTGCACTCTAATTATTGCAACAAAAACAGAGTCATATATCTCTCAAATGACGGCTCTGCACTGTGCCTGCTTTCTCAGCGCCTTGGGGCACTTTTTTCCTTAACCTCCTCCGGTTTTCCACCTTCACCGTCCTCCCTCCCTCTCTCCCCCTATTAATTTGTCTTTCTTGCCAATTACAGACAACTCGTCTCCCTCTTTTAGCCGTGGAAAGAAAAGAAAGTAACCCCCCCCCCTTAATTCTTGGATTTATTAACTCATAGTTCCCCTGAGCAATTCCTAACATTGTTTCCTCTGCTCTAGGCGCTATTTTGTAGAAGCTGCACTAGCCTGGAGCAGTTTCATTCACTGGGAGGGAGAATGAAGCCTAGTTAAGGATGAATTTAAAGGCAGTAAAAACAACGAGTCGTCCTTGTGGCACCTTAGAGATTAACGAATTTATTTGGGCATAAGGTTTCGCGGGGCGGGGTGTGTTACAGCCCAGCTCCCTCACCTTGGGGCAAGGGCAAGACTCCCGCTTTGCAGAGAGGGATGCTCTGTTAACACCCTAGGATCTGGCTGCTGGCCTTTCCCAGCGATTTTGCACCCTCCCCTGCTTCACGCCGTCCCTGAGCTTGCAGGACTCTGTTTCCCTGCTGCCAATGGCACGGGGAAAGCAGCCTACCGGCTCCCCCCAGCTCCCCTTCGTTGCTAACCCTCCCTTTGGGGGGTGCGGGGAGAGGCTCCGCTGCTTTTCCCGCGGCTTCCCTCTAAGCAACCTGTTGCAAGGAGGGGTGTTTCTGTGCTGTCTCCACTTGGATGATTGGCAAGCATTGCTGGCCAATCCCCGCCGCCGACAGCGCTCCCTTGCGTGCTTATTGGACAGCGTGGGGTAAATTGGGAGGGGGGTAGGGCGAGGTTTCGCAGCGTTCCCCTGTTCGCGGCGGGCTAGGGGGCGAGTTTATAACGCAGCCTACTCGCCGGGCTGCGCAGCGCGGTGCAGCGGCTCGGGCCCGGGGGCTGCCGGGCGGAGGCGAAGCGGCTGCAGGCAGGGGACGGGGGCTTGGCTGCGCAGCGGGGGCCCTGCGCGTGCTGAGACGGGACTCGCTTGGCTTGTGCTCGGCAGACGGAGACCATGCAGGGCAGCCCCGCGGCACGGACTCTGCTGCCCGCGCTGCTGCTGCTGCTGCTGGCTGGCAGGAGCGGCGGGGTCCGGGCGCAGCAGCCGCCCCCGCCGGGCAGCCCCGCGTTCTCCTATCCCTCGGCACTGGGACCCCAGGAAGACGCCTCCATCGTGGTGGCCAACCGAGGGCTGCGCGTCCCCTTCGGCCGCTCTGTCTGGCTGGACCCGCTGAGCGACCTGGTGCTGCAGGTGCAGCCGGGGGACCGCTGCCACCTGCGCGTCTTGGACGACGACCCCCTGTGGCTGCGCCCGGGCCGCCTGATCCCGCAGCGCTTCCCTTGCGACTTCGCCCCCGGGGAGGTGACGTACTGGCACCTGGGCTCCCGCAGCCCGTCCCGGGACCGGGTCCGCCTGCAGCTGCGCTACGACTCGCCCAGCCGCGCCGTGGTGCTGCCCCTGGCGCTGGAGGTGGAGGTGCTCTTCGCCCAGCTGGAGATCGTCACCCGCAACCTGCCCCTCACCGTGGAGAGCCTGCTGGGCACCAGCAACGCCTTGGACGGCCGCAGCCTGGAGTTCGCCTTCCAGCCGGGCAGCCAGCGCTGCAGGGTGGGCGCCCTGCCGGGGCTGGGCGGGCTGCCCCGCTACGGGGAGCTCCTCGGTCAGCCGGCTGCCCCGTGGCATCCGTCGGCGGCCGGCGCCCCGTCGCCCTCGGTCTGGTGGGAGTGCGAGGAGTTCCTGCGGGTGGGGCTGCGCTACCGGCACTCGGCGGCCGGCCGCTCCCCGAACCGAGACTCGCTGCCCCTGGTGGTGGAGCTGCGGGAGGCGGCGGGCGCCGGGGCGTTGCTGAAGCGGGAGCATTTCCAGGTGCTGGTGCGGATCCGGGCCGGCACCGAGAACACGCCGCCCCGGCCCAGCTTCGTGGCCATGCTGATGATGGAGGTGGACCAGTTCGTGCTCACTGCCCTCACCCCGGACATGCTGGCGGCCGAGGACGCCGAGTCCGCCCCGGACCTGCTGCTCTTCAACATCACCTCCCCCTTTGGGCCAGGCCAGGGCCATGTGGTCAGCACCGACGACCGCAGCCTGCCCATCGCCTATTTCAGCCAGCGGGACGTGCGGGAGCTGAGGGTCGCCTACCAACCGCCTGCAGAGGACTCGGCCAGGGAGCGGCTCTTCGAGCTGGAGCTGGAGGTGCTGGATCCCGAGGGCGCTGCCTCCGAGCCCTTCGCCTTCATGATCGTGGTGAAGCCCATGAACACGCTGGCACCCGTGGTGACCCGCAACACAGGCCTGGTGCTCTACGAGGGGCAGTCGCGGCCGCTCTCCAGCCCGGGCCCCAGCCCCAGCCTGCTCATCAGCGACGAGGATGACCTGGAGCAGGTGCGGGTCAGCGTGCTGGCAGGGCTGCGGCACGGGCACCTGGCCCTGCTGGAGGAGCCCCAGGCCGGGGAGCCCCAGGCCCGCAAGCACTTCACGGTGGACGAACTGGCAGCTGGCCGCATCATTTACCAGCACGACGGCAGCGAGTCCCCGCTCAGTGACAACCTGGTGCTGCGGCTGGAGGATGGTGGCGCCCGGCACCATGTCGAGTTTCTCTTCCCCATTACCCTGGTGCCCACCGATGACCAGCCACCCCTGCTCAACGCCAACACGGGGCTGTCCTTGGCCGAGGGCGACATAGCCCCCATCCCTGCCCGTGCCCTCAGCGCCACTGACATCGACTCGGACGATGCTACGCTGCGCTTTGTGCTGGAGTCTGGCCCTGCTGCAGGGCAGCTGCTGCTCCGTCAGGCCCAGCCGTCCCTGGGCTGGGACGGTGAGAACGGGGGCTCCCCCTGGAGGAGGGTGCTGGGCTTGCCTGGGGACCCACCAATGTACGAGAGGCTGGTGAGTGAGTGGCTGCAGCAGGACATCGTGGAGGGGCGGCTCTTCTACAGGCACCTCGGGCCCCACAGCCCTGGCCCCAGGGTGGTGCTGGACCAGTTTGTCTTTAGGGTCCAGGATGACAACGACCCACCCAACCGCTCTGGGCCCCAGAGCTTTATGGTCCGGGTGCACCCAGTGGACCGCCTGGCCCCGGTGCTTCATGGTGGCAGCAGCCTGCGCCTGGTGGTGGCTGAGCAGCAGGTGACCCCACTGCGGAGGAAGCACCTGCGCTACACAGATCAGGACTCTGGGGACCGGGAGATCCACTACACCATCACCCAGCCCCCCACTGACACAGACTCCAACCACCCTGGGGGGGCCAAGGGCACCCGCCTGGGATTCCTGGTGTTGACCGATGACCACTCAGTGGAGGTGATGCACTTCAGCCAGGCCCAGATCAACCACCACAAGATCTCTTACCGGCCCCCACAGCAGGAGCTGGGAGTGGCTCCCCGCCTGGCCCAGTTCCAGTACCGGGTGGAGGATGCAGCTGGTAATGCTGCCCAAGGCACCTTCACCATTTACCTGCAGCCCATAGACAACCAGCCCCCTGAGATCACCAACAGCGGCTTTACTGTGCATGAGGGGGCCAGGCATGTGCTGGGCCTGGCTGAGCTGGACGCCAGCGACACTGACACTGAGCCCACTCACCTCCAGTTCACCCTGACCCAGGCTCCCCAGCATGGACAGTTGCAGCTCTCTGGGCATAGCCTGGCCATGGGAGCAGCCTTTGGCTTGGAGGACATTAAACATGGTAGGGTGGTCTATGTGCACAGTGGTACTGAGTCTCACAGTGATGCCTGCAGCCTGGATGTGAGTGATGGGGTCCATGTGGTGCCCATCACACTGAAGGTGACTGTGCACCCTGTGGATGATGAGGTGCCCACCTTACGGCTGCCCCCAGGGACACTTGGCTCCTACTTGGACGTGCTGGAGAATGGTGCTGCTGAGATCACCACTAACGTCATCCAGGGCACGGATGAGGATACAGATGATCTGATGCTGACTTTCATTGTGGAGGACCCTCCCCAACATGGGGACATCCTGGTCCAGGGGGTGCCTGCAGAGAGGTTTTCCCAGAGAGACCTGCTGGATGGGGCTGTGGTATATGCTCACACGGGTGGTGAAATAGGGCTGCTGCCCAAAGAAGATACCTTTAACCTCACTTTGTCTGACCTGTCTGAAGAGTGGAGCATTGGGGGCAATGTTGTTCGTGGAGTTTCAGTGCTGGTGACAATCCTTCCTGTTGACAGTCAAGCCCCTGAGGTTTTTGTGGGGGAACACTTAATGGTAGTGGAGGGTGACAAAAGGGTCATTACACATGCCCACTTAAGGACTGAAGATGTGGATACACCTAGTGATGATATTCTGTGCACCATAGTTGCACAGCCCACCTCTGGTTATGTAGAGAACATCTCTCCAGCCCTAGGATCTGAAAAATCCAGAGCAGGTACAGCTATAAGTGCCTTTACTTTGAAAGACGTCAGGCAAGGGCACATTTATTACGTTCAAAGCATCCATAAGGGTGTGGAGCCTGTTGAAGACAGGTTCACTTTCCGTTGCTCTGATGGCATTAACTTTTCTGAAAGGCACTTCTTCCCCATTGTCATTATCCCAACCAATGACGAAGAGCCTGAAATCTTTATGCGAGAGTTTGTAGTGATGGAAGGCATGAGCCTGGTTATCGATACTCCCATCCTCAATGCAGCAGATGGGGACATCCCTGCTGATGAACTGACCTTCACTATCACTAAGTTTCCCACGCATGGCCACCTTGTGAACCAGCTGATCAATGGAACAGTCTTGGTGGAGAGCTTCACCCTGGCTCAGATAACTGAGAGCTCCAGCATTATCTATGAACATGATGACTCTGAAACAAAGGAAGACAGCTTTGAGGTGAAACTCACAGATGGTAAACATGCTGTAGAGAAAACTGTGCTAATCATGGTTATTCCTGTAGATGATGAGACACCCAGAATGACCATCAACGATGGGCTGGAAATTGAAATAGGGGAGACTAAAATCATCCACAACAGAATACTGAAGGCTACTGATCTAGATTCTGAAGACAAAACCTTGACTTACATTATAAGGTATGGTCCAGGACAAGGCCTCTTACAAAGAATAAAGCTTTCAGGTGGGGTTGAGAATATCACACTGGGAATGAACTTTACCCAAGATGAAGTGGACAGAAACTTAATTCAGTACATGCATTTTGGCCAAGAAGGTATTCGGGATCTTATCAAATTTGATGTGACAGATGGGATAAATCCTCTCATTGACCGATATTTTTATGTGACCATAGGTAGCATTGATATTGTCTTCCCAGATGTGATCAGCAAAGGGGTGTCCTTGAAGGAAGGGGGAAAAGTTACACTTACCACTGATTTACTGAGCACCAGTGACTTGAATAGCCCAGATGAAAACTTGGTTTTCAGTATTACCCGGGCACCTGTTCGTGGCCATCTCGAATGTACGGATCAGTCTGGGGTGCCCATCAAAACCTTCACTCAGCTCCAGTTAGCAGGCAATAAAATCTACTACATTCACACTTCAGAAGATGAGGTGAAAATGGACAGCTTTGAGTTTGAAGTGACTGATGGTTATAACCCAGTATTTCGCACTTTCCGAATTTCCATTAGTGATGTGGATAATAAAAAGCCAGTGGTCACAATCCATAACCTGCTGGTATGTGAAAGTGAAAATAAACTGATAACCCCCTTTGAACTGACAGTGGAAGACAGAGACACCCCTGATATGTTGCTTAAATTTATTATCACCCAAGTGCCAGTTCATGGTCAGCTCATGTTCAATAACACCAAGCCGGTTACATCCTTTACCAAACAAGATCTGAATGAAAATCTTATAAGCTACAAGCATGATGGCACAGAGTCAGCTGAAGACAGCTTCTCTTTCACTGTTACAGATGGGACACATACTGATTTCTATGTCTTCCCTGACACTGTGTTTGAAACAAGGAATCCCCAAACAATGAACATTCTGATAATGGCTGTGGACAATAGTGTACCCCAAATTGTAGTAAATAAGGGTGCCCCTTCTCTCCGTGTTTTGACCACTGGCCACTTGGGTTTTATGATTACCAACAAGGTATTCAAAGTGGAAGACAGGGACAGCTTGCACGTTACCCTCAAGATCACGATCACAGAGGCTCCTCACCATGGCTTCCTGATCCACCTGGGAAAAGGCAACCATAGTATCACTCAGTTCACACAAGGTATTTCCGTGTCTGGTACTCTCTCTTTAGAGCACTGGAAACATGCATGCAGGAATGAAGCATACTTAATTCTGAAATAATTGATCCCAGAAAGAGCCTGTTTACTGCATTAAGGGCCTGATTCTTTTTTTTTTTTTTAAATATTTGTGGTAGTGTCCAGGCTTCAGCAGAGAGCAGCTACTAATTGTGCTCGGTACTGTACAAACAGAATGAGAGAGACAGGGTGGGTGAGGTAATATCCCATGATATTAGAGAGGCAATGTAGGTGAGGTAATATTTTTTTTTTGTTGGACCAACTTCTGTTCGTGAAAGCGACAGGCTTTCAAGCTACACAGCTGAAGAGCTCTGTGTAGCTCGAAAGCTTGTCTCTTTCACTAACAGGCCTTGGCTCAGAAAAAGATATTGTCTCACCTGCCTTGTCTCTCTAATATCGAGGGGCCAGCCCGGCTACAACAACACTGCAGACAAAAACAGAATAAGATAGTCCTTGCCCTGAAGATTTTACGATTTAATTCTGCATCCTGTATTCATGTTGAGTATCAGTTACTCAAGGGCTTAGTCTAGCTACTTAACATGAGTACAGGTTACAGGATTGGTCCATAAAACATTAGACACTCATAACTTTTTTTTTTTTTTTCAAATTGTTTTACTTAGAAAATAGTAATAGTTGACTGCTCCATTAGTAACTATCCTAGCATATTTAAGGTGCTGGTCATGTACTGCCTGGGTGCACTTTACATAGTTTAAAATTATCCCTAAGCCCAGGGAGCAAATATCTCATGACTACCTTATTGCCTTAATTGCACAAACTTTAAATCACAAAGTCTCTGTGGTAAAATAAGAGGTAATATAAATATTTTAAATTATGTTGATGCTTGCTACTTAGTTTTTTTTAAACTGTACTAGGTGGCATAGTTAGGATGGAAACCACATATGTTATATGCACTGAAATAAAGCCTTAAAACAAGGCTGTGGAATAACCTCCTTGAGTCAGAAAGGGTGTATTATCTATCCACTGGGGAGCTTTCAGTATTATGTTATTAGTTAATAGCTGGCTGAGTAAAAGTGAAATGGTGCTTCGTGGAGCCTTAGTTGTAGTGAGTTTGTTTGCTCGAGTTGCAAATCCAGCAAACAGACCCCACAAACCTTACATATTTTGACTGAATGCCAAAGGTATCTCAAGAGTTGCAGTGATGGGCAAACCTTAAAAGAAAAAAAAAAAAAAAAAAAAAAAAAAAAAAAAAAGCCCCAAATCATTGCAATATGGCAGGAAATTCAAGCTCCCTAAACTGTGGGAACCAACACAGCTGATGTATAAAGAAACATTCCCAATGATGTTGTATTAGGACCTTTTGAAGTGGTGAGTATCAGGGAGAAGTACAGAGGAGTAGTAGGGAGTGTGCACTCCTGAGTGGAAATATTCCTTTTTAAGGGCCTTGTCTTACATTTGAAATAGACTGGGTCATGTGTATTCCTTGGAGCAAACCACAGTACAGCATTCCAGATAAGCAAGGAGGCTCATTTGTGAGAATACTGACAGCTTGTTACTGCCTGCCACTTGGTCGGCCCACCCACCTTGTTTAACAGATATGCAGCCCTCTGGCTGCTACATCCTGCATAGCAGAAGAATGGACCATGTTGGAGGAAGAGATGGGATGTGTAAGAGACCAAGCAGTGAAACTCTGCATGCTGTACTCAGCAGCATGTACAATCCTGGTGCCATATAAATGATTAATTACCTAATCCTAATTCAGACATTTGCAACTATTGGAGTTACTTCCCTCCACATTTCCCGGCAATACACCCATACTACGGTGTGTCTGCACCTGGGCTTTTCTGCCAAATTTTTTCCACTGTTGCTATCAGCTGCTGTCTCCAACAACAGTGCTGATGGTGGTAGTGCTAGTATAGTTAAGGCTTCAATCAGGCACCAGTGTTTTTAAGTGCACTGTGTCTGTCTCTGCTCAGAGCAGGTTTATACAGCATATTTATTAAAATGCCAGTGGCCTCCAGCACCTTGTCTGCAGTAGTCTACCACTGGTGGTAGGGGAAAAAAAAAAAAAAGCCTAGGACAGACTAGGTCATGTAGGCATGTAGAACAGTCATAGCAAGGAGAAGCATGTGCTTCCAAGAGGAGGGAGGCAAACCTGGCAGGGGCCTTCAGGTGAAGGAGTAAAGAACAGGGGAGCAGGAGGTATGGGTTGGGGAAGATAGCAGTTTTGGGGAGAAAAGGAGCAGTCCCACAGCAGGACAGTGGAGGAAACTCTAGGCAGGGGAGGAACTCCTGGTGAGCGGCAGCAGTCTTGCAAAATTGGAAGGCCCTAGTCAAGGGCAAGTGCAGCCCCCTAAGTGAAGAAGGGTGACATCAGCCCTGCTGGGAAGAGGGAAAGGGGAAAAGGCTCCACTTACAGGAAGCTGCAGGAGTATTAGTAGGGCAAACCTGGAGGTGGAAACTGTGGATGAAAGATCATTTGCCCCAGATCCCCTCTTCACCATATCTCTTACTGGGTGTATGGAGAGGGTTATCAGTGCTGGGAGCTACAACTTCTTGGCTAGACTTAGAAAGTTTAAGTTTCAGCAGGTAATGAGAGAAGCTTACTCAGTCCTGTAGATTGAGGAGCCTGTACAGAATTCTGGGCCCAATTCGCTGAGGCCCTGCACCTTGTGTAGCCATTACACCGCCTGAAGCATGGAAAACATTACCAGATCCAGAATGGGTAGCCTTTTACACCCTGTTCACTCTCACTGGTATAAATGATTACACAACATGCAAGGCAACAGCCTTTCTTCCTGTTGTACCTTTCCCATCTTTGGGGACCACTGTGAGTACAGTTCCCCCCCCCCCCCCCTTTTTTTTTTTTTTTTTTTTTTTTGGACTGTCAAGAGTCAATTTTGACAGTGGGAGTTTCCTGTTACTGACCCCATGAGTTTCCTACTGCCATCTATCTATTTCTTTTTGTATCTTATATCTTTTCCCTTTTTAAGGGCCCCATCCTGCAACATACAGAGAACCTCCTATGAGGAGCTGAATGCCCTCATCGTTCATGAATGTCACTGGGTGCTGATAACGCTCAGCCTCTTACAGGAGGTATGCAGCAGTTTGAAGGCTCTGGTCCTAACCCCTCTCCCTTACTCTCCCCCCTCCCCCCAAAAAGGGCCATTTTATTGCCATGAGTCCTAGCCTTAGAGCTTTAGCTACTGGATGGTGAACCAAGCATGGGGGAAGACACTTCTGCCTACATTGTTTCCCCATCCCTAAGATGGTGCCTCCATAATTGTATTAATGAACAGACTAATTTCATAGAAAGAGAGAACTCCTCTGATTTGAGATCCACTGTGCTTTAGCAGCAACTGCCCCAGTGGGGAAAAATGTTAGCCACACAATAACTTTTTGTTTACTATTTGGGAAGGCCACTTTTTCCATAGCTGCTAATATTTTACCAAATACTGAAAAGAAAATCACCCAAATATGTCAGATAAACCACAAACTCCAATTGAAAATTCCAGAGCAGTAATTGGACACACCACATACTAGAGGAGTTTGCACTGACAGTTGATGATCCGGTTCAGGTTTTGTCCCTGCAGTATGTCTTCCTTTGCTCAGATACAGAATATGGGTTGGTTTGGGTTACTAATGGAAGTTAGATATTTTTTGTTAGGTTTACATTAGGTAGCATCTTGCTCACATGAGTAGTCAGTGGACTTAATTGGGATACAGTGGGGTGCTGGTCCATGTCTGGGGCCCATAGGCACTAAAATAATACAAATATTAATTAGTCACATGGGTAAATTACAAGTTAGCAGAGTTGAGCCCCAGGGTAATAAGTTCCAAGATTTTGCAAGCATACAGGATTGCTTCTTGCTCTTGCTTCCTCCATATGCTTATAAATATTAATGTCGTATAAAGAAGAAAAAAGGACAGCAAGGTAGAAGGATCAAATGTTCCCCAAACAGGCCCAACTACTAAGTAACATTTGAAAATGTATAATAAAACTATTTTCTATTACTCAAGTTGTTTCAACTTCAAAGCATTACATTCTGATGCTTTATTTATTTATTTTTTCTTTTCTCCAGTTACTTTCACATAGCTTGCCTTAGGCTTGCAAGAATTTTAAAGGTGGAGAATGTATAACAACAAAAATCCCTCCCTAGCCAGTAATTTCAAACTCTCTCTTAGTTCTACTGAGGACAAAAATATTTACTAAGAAAATTGCTTATGCATAATCGCACAGCACTCATCTCTGCAAGTTAGGGCTGGAATTTGTTCATAGAAGATATTTATTAAGATTAGATTATTGACTATGAACAGGGGAACTCTATTAATGAACTGCCAAGTCTTTTCCATTAAGGGGAATAAAATGTATGTAGCTTTTAATTAGCTACTGTTTTTCAGTGTTTTGAACATGCATACTGCTATATAAGTGCTAAGTGTTACTTTGGGGCCTATTCAATCCAATTTGGTTAGCTTTGATTATTAAGGGCAAGAGCATGACCTGCAGCTCTATGGGTGTGCCAGGGAGTGAAAGCAAAAGAAGCCCATTTTACAATTGTGTGCAAAAATAGGGCACAATCCTCTGGGGCACATGATATCCCAAAGGGGCCAGTGAGGAGGGCTGATCTGTTGCCTGGTCTCTAACTAATACACCTGCCAACAGATCTGGCCCTGTGCATGGGATTTAGTGAATGTGCTGCAATCAAGATTCTTCATCAAAATTCCTTCCTGAACTCCCCCTGGGGTGGGGTGGCTCCACACCTTCCCCTGTTGAGGCAAGTGCTTTGGAAGACATTCTCTCTCTCTCTCTCAAAAAATAAATAAAATAAAAGTACATTATTGGGGAAAAATCTCATGACAATCAAATGAGTTTGGCATAATTTTAACTGGGAAATCAAATTTCTAATCTTGTGTGGCTAACAGATTTATGTAACCCTGGCCAAAGACAAAGCTATAGGATTGCAGATCAGGCCACAATTCCAGAAACTGTTCAGCAAGAGTTTAGCTGAGTTTGCAGTCACAAAGGACTGCATTACTGCTTGCAACTAAGAAAGTGCTAGTGTAATCAAATGAGCTATGGAAGGATAATGTAGGTTAGCTCAAATAACGCTAATATGTGTTTAACAAACACAAAGAAAGACATCCATATAGGATACTTTATCTAAATATAAAATTTTGGTAGATGTTATTGTTTTAGGAGCTGATCCTGCAAACCTTTACTTGAGTGCTTGGCTTTATGCATGTTAGTTCGATTGACTTTAATAGGACTACTTGTATGTGTAAAGTTAAGCACTTGTGTAAGTGTTTGTTCGCAGGATCAGAGTTTTAATTTTTTGCCACATTGACATGAGGATATTCACTTGCAACCTCTTTATTACTCCAGGAGTTCTTTGTTTAAAAGAAAGTAAAAAAATATGTACTAAAGATAATTATTTAACATAAAAGATACATGTCTGGTTTTTGAACTATTATGCAGAGGGACACACAACCTCTAACAAAAATGCTTTTGACATGTTTTACCAACCAATACACATGTCCTGACTTGTGGGGAGAATCTGTATGATACTTGAGTTCCACTTAAATGCTATTACTTTCTAAAGTTTTGTCTAAAATTGTTCATGATATGATGCCCTATATGATTGGGAGAAACAAAGGATTTCTCTTTCAAAGTAAGTGACAAGGACAAGTTTGTATTTACTAAAGAATTCATGTCACCCTATAAAGAAACTAGAAAACCCATATTAACAAATAACTGTTTTGCCTTTTGCTTTTTTCTCTTCTATTTATTTTGCTGCAACTGATGCTCCAACATCTATTAAACTAAATAAGTTGAATTCTCTCTTACTTCATTTAACTGAATTTGTCTAGGTTTTTCAGTGCATCACTAGTTTCTGAGTACCTCTGTTTGTGATGGCTCAGTTATAAAGATTGTAAGCCATATTCGGTAGAGTAGATGGTCTGTAGGAAGGATGGTTTAGCGACAAGGGCACTGAACTGGGATTCAAAGGACTTGGTTGGTTTCACTTCAGTTTGGTGTCGTATAAGTAAGGGCAGAATTTGGCTTCATGGTTCCTGTTTGACATCAAACACATTGCATACAGGCATGTTTGAATTCAGTGCAATAATTAAAATGAAAAAAGCAAGTTTTACCAGAAATAAATAAGGAAAGACATGAAATAATGCAATTAAAATATAGCATAGAATAATTCCTTGTTTTATTTTAAAGTTTTTATAGTTTAATAAAAGCTTGTTCTAAGAGTAAATTCAGAGGATGGATTTGAAAGAGGTAGCCAAGTAACCTTGTTGTTATTGACATTCCTATATTGTGCACTTTTAGGTCACAATAATCTATCTTGGCTCCTTCATTCTCTTTTAGTCTATGAAGTGCACCTCCTTGCAACAGCATTCATTAGTGGTGGTAAGCCATAGCAATAGGTTTCCTTTGAGTGTCAAGATTTTCCCTAGATGTACAACCAGCAAGATTGATCCCTTTTCTCCCTTTTTTATTGTCTAAATTTTTGCTGGACAGCTTGTTGATCCAGAAAACCAGTGTTATACAGTGGTCTGAATGACAGGGCCGGCTCCAGGCACCAGCCGAGCAAGCTGGTGCTTGGGGCGGCAGATTGAACAAGGCGGCATTCCGCCCAATCCTAGGGCGGCATGGCCGCTTTTTTGTTGTTGTTGTTCCACTCCAGCCGCCCGGCAGGTGGCGCGGCGGGAGGGGCCGCGTGGCAGCTCCCCGCTGTAGCCCTGGCCGCCCCCCTTCTCTCTCTCTCCCGCCCGCTCCCTCCCCCTCCCCCCCGCTAGTCGGTCCCCCTGCACCCGCGTTCCGGCGCACAGATCACTGTGGTTTTTTTTGCTTTGCTGTTCTGGCTGACCCGCTTGGGGCGGCCAAAAAGCCAGAGCCGGCCCTGCTGAATGATCATGCTTGACACACCTCATGTAACTGTAGAGGGCACTAATTCTGTAAGTTAGCATATGTTTCAGAATGAGTGGCACTGGCAAGGCATTCAGGACCAGTTCTGCAACCTTTATCTGTGTTGAGTAGAACCATATTCTAGACTACTTACAGAGTGAGGTACTAGTCAGCGTAAGTAACAGTAGCAGAATCAGGCCCTTAGTGATGATTTCAGCTGAACAAAGTGCTACACAAAAACAAAGCAACCCCCCCCCCCCGCCATGTAAAACCCTCACCATTGACCATACCTTCTTACCAGCACTCATAACACACATGTATGCATATTTCCTCTGGGTTCTGTTTATCAAATATATAAAAATAGGAAAAAACAGTGAACTTTGTTTTTTAAAACATGCAGTCCATTAATACTGAAATTCTCTGACTCTAACGGTATGTCTAGTGTAAGCCTAGGCTTCTGTTTGAACTCAGACTCAAGCCTAACCCCCCTTCCATGTACACATAAATCATGCTAACATGGCTCAGACCCAGGGTCCCAGGACCCCACGGGGCTGGAGGGTCCAAGCCTGAGTCAAACTGTATTGCTTTGCAGTGTAGACATGGCCGCACTGGACTCGTGCTCTGGGAGTCTGCCAAAAGTATCCCACAGTCCCCTGGGCTGATTTTCTTTGTCTTCTGGACAGTAAAGTTTGGTGGACAGTCAAGTTTTCCCACAGAGCCCCACAAGTAAAGAGCAAGAATTGGCCACATTTTGGGAGGGTTCTAGGAAATCCGGGATGTGGGTGGTTGGACTCGGGGCCAGACAATGCATTGTAGACTCTGGAGCCCCAGATTGGGACCCAAGGTTCAACAATTCCTAGCCTGGGGTTAAAAATGAGTGTAGATGCTCAAGCCCTATGTTAACAAACCCAGTGTCTCCTCAGTCTGGATTAACATTGCAGTTTAGACATAACCTAATAGTGAAGTCAGACTTCTGATGAACAAATTAATGATAATTGTTAAGTGTTCCTATTCAAACTGTTTCTGTTTACATTTAAGTTAAAATGTGTTTGTCTTGACATTTTCCAGCTGATATTGATGACATGAAGATATGCTATGTTTTAAGAGAAGGTGAAAATGCCACAAGTGACCTTTTCCATTTTACTGTTGAAGATGGTGGTAAGTACTCAACTTCGAAAACAGCTTTCTGTGGGTTGAACTGCCTTGTGCAGATGTTTAGGTTAATTACAGGAAGCTTGTGTAAGCTGTTACTTCACCAGCTTCTGTGCTTTTCAGTATTGTGGACTATTATTATTGTGGCTACAAAAAGTTGTTTTGAAGGAATGGTAACTATATTCAGTGTGAAAATACTTAGACTACTATGGTAAAAGGATGAAATCCTCAAATTCCACATAAAGCTCAAGTTATGGGGCTTTATGCAGTTTTCCTGCGTATCCCCAACCCAGACACATAGTTGCAGCATAATATCTCTGCAATTACTGCACTGGCTTATGAGCGGCAGTAGTGGCTGCTGTACCTCAGAAGCCCCATGTTGGGGTTCCTGACCACGGGGCCCAATACCTCTCTCCGCACTCCCCATCAGTACCCAGCCCAAGCTGGGGAAGCTAATGATTCAACCAGCGAACCAAATTTGGTGATGAATCCTGGTCACATGCCACCTGAAGCACGTTGCGCATATGCTAAGAAGAATATTAGGAGCCATCGTGGACCCAATCCTTTCAGCACACAGGTCGTGTGGAGTCCCCGTTCTGCGTATCCTTTCCGTCAAATCCATTGGGGTTTGGTCACATGCAAGGTCTTACTCAGGGTGATTAGTAACAGATGAATTTCAATAATTGAGACTTTGGAGAAAGGGGGAAAATGTTTCTATTTAAAATATATCTAACAGTTGCTCTTCAGCAAAAATCATTTACCAGAACAAAACAAATATTGATACAAGATTTTGGAAACAATATGTGTGAACATGGCTAACTTTTTATCAGAGAGTTACATTTTAAGAAACGACCAGAGATCTTTCTAGGTGTAGATGTCCGTATGGCATGGTAGGTGATTGTTAAGTTAGGATGCTTTAGTATATTTTTCAATAAATTAAATTGCTTTATATCTAAGCAACAGTGAGTTTTAATTAGTTTAATTTAACACTAAAATCTCTTTTCAAGAACAAAGCTATTTTGAGCCGAATTGTGATCAGCCCTTGTGTCCCACTCTCCTCCCCCCCCCCCCCACACACACTCAAAGACAAGAAGCACCGTCCATCTAACAACCAATTGCAATAGCAGTCACTGTGAGCAGAAACTGCTCAGCTCACCCTCTTCCTAGTTAGTAAATTGCCCCAAAGGAGGTTGGCAATAGCCCTGAGCTCATCCTCGCTGGCCTGTGGAGTGGGGCAATGCACTGGGAGTGGGGCGCTCTACGCCATCCTTCTGGATGGCACAGAGTGTACCCCCTCCTGTGTGCCAGGGATCTGTCTAAGAGATGATGTCTCCTGAGGCACAAATCAGGCTCTTGGAATTAGAGGCCACTTTTCAAAATGTGATTGCTAATCTGTACTGGCCCATTGACACCAAGATGAACTAATTATTTATGGCATCCAGGCTTATTTTCCCAAAATATTTTAATTAAACCAGTACCTAGATCAGGGGAATGAAAGGGTAAGTACAGATATGTGTATGAAACACTGTGTGAAATATTTTGCATGCAATACCATAGTATTGTTATGGCAAGAGTCACCAAATGTCGTTACATGGAGTCTCCCAAGTTCTTTTTCTTAATGCGTGAGCTCCAGTGTTAGGAAGACTAGCAGTGTGGCGGTATTAGTTTTGTTACGGAAGGCTCTGAGTAGAGGGAGCTATGTGAACAGCTGGAGAGTTTGTTCTTTGCCTTGGTCTGTGATTAGAGTCAATTCTTGAGACAAATTTGCTCCCTAGGACATGGGCATTGGTGACGGGCAAGGCTTCCTGATGGCCAGATCGGCCTCTGTAGTGTTTGGCCACTTCTGTTGGTGTATATGTGTAGCTAAAACAAGGTACACATAGCATACACCCAGACTCCGTGTCACTGATTTTTCTTTTACTGGGAAGCCAGCTTGCCAAAGTCCTGGATATCTGCTGCCACTTGGCAGAGGGGCAACAGTATTTATTGTGTCCAATTGTAACCTGTAATAGTATGAGATTTTTTCATAATAATAAAAGGAATCGTTCTACTTCAAAGCTCATTGTTGATTTTCTAACCCTTTGGGTATTTTCAACAGAGCTCTACCAGATACATTATCATGTTGCACATACCTTACCTAGGTGGTAAGGTAACACTAACATTAATATTGTAGTCTTTTTTTAAACCATGGAAAACATTGAGTTGTATTGTATTTCAACATAATTTTGTGAGAAATGGTTGGCTAAAGAACTTGGAAGGGATGAAATTTGGGACTGAGACACTAATAGTTTTCTTTGTTTGGAATAATAACTAAATTATACTAGCAGGCTCTTCAAGATCTATAATTTCATGTGAGAAAAAAGCAGAAATTTGCCTTTCTAAATTTCACTCTTCCTCAAAAAGACATCAAAGCCTCTGTTGCGCAGGTCACGTAGATTTTTGGCAGAATGTCAGTGATGCAGAGACATTTGTTTCTATGTTCTTGATGCAAAGCCAGCTATTTCTGAGAGAATAAACACAACATTAAGGAGTGAAAGATTCAGTACAGAATACCCAAACCCACAATAGAATTATATATGACATGCTTCAATTTTCTCCTGTCTTGATTTCTGTCTCCTGAATTAGCATTGCTTTTTGAAATCTTGCAGTAGTAAACAAGGTTGTGATGTCTACTGTACATTACCTAAAGGTGTAAAATAAGTAATTCACTCTTTCTGTGGGAACCCTTAACTCTGGTTGAGTTGAACCACAGTGAAATCAGTCAGAATATGACTTGATCAAAGAATGAATGTTTGTTGAAATTACTCCATAAATATTATTTTAGGTAAGTCAAAAGCTGTATTGAACAAACACTTTCAAAAGTGATATTCTACTAAAGGTGGAGCAGAGTTGTGCTTACTATGTTTGGGAATTCTTTGGGGCAGTCTCTTAAGACAGCAAGTTGCTTTATAAGGATGGTTTCTTGGACAAATTTCACTATTCTTAGAACAGGAAATAACTGTACTATCTCAGATATTATGTGGTAACTGTATTGAGATTTTAATGGTGGTAACTCTATGTCTTCCGATTTACTGTTCTGTCCTGTATTGGGATCTGCTGGTACATACCCCTATGCCTGTGTGAAGTCCCATTGACATTAATATGAGTCCACATCGGTGCTGGGGAGCCATGCTTGCTGAGCCTGGTGCAGAAACTGGGCTTTGATTATGTATGGGTGGCACAAGAGCCACACTTATTTTTTTATTTTAATCATGCACACTGTAGTGATAGGTTGAAAAAAGAAAAAAGAAAGTTGTAAAAATCCTCCTTTTCATATGAGCAAACATTTAAATGTAGTGAATTTAAACTCTTAACTGCCTGGAATCCCTTGTCATGTTAATATTAACAACAAAGGAACCAATATTACCAGAAAGCAGGAAAGAACACAGGAGGCAGAAGTGGCAGTGGTAGGAAGAAATTGAAATCCAGGGTGATGGCTGAACTCCTGGACTTTACCCATGTTGTTGTGAGTACATGTTTATGGGATGTACAGTCACAAGCTCTTCAGAGCCTCCTGTAGTACATAAGTATATTTATTGGCTTGAGGATGGAGATTCAACCTTAACTCAAAATGTCTGAGCCTTTAATTGGTTTAAGACAGACTCTTTGTGTAGTTTATACATAGTATAATAGATTTATGATAGGCTTTAATAAGTATGGCAACTTTACAGTGTTAAAGAAGTCAAGTCAGCTTGATACATGGTGCCTTCTGTATATGTGTAGAGTTAGCATTTCAACTGTGCAAAATGGCACTAATCCATTTGGAATGAAAGTTAATGCACAAATTTGTTTCAGTGCATTGAAACCCTGTTCCTCTCGCAGAAAATTCCACACCATATCCCCTTATCCACTATGTGGAGCATTCTTGCTTCATAGATGAGAAATGACTGAAGTAAATACATGACTGAAATCTAAGGACCCTATTCTACCTTCATTTTATGCCCAGTGTGATTCAGATTTATTTTATGTAATCTTAATGAGAATGTGGAGCTAAATGTCTGTCTTGTTCAATCTATGAAAAATTGTCATTTTCCTCTTGGAGTTTGGTGCATGTCTCAAGAAACATGAAACTAGTTCAGATGGGTTACACTGACTTTATGGGCAGATTCTGCTGCTAGTGCAGAGCAAAATGGACAGAACATACCCCAGCATCTGGAACCATAATGTCAAAGTATTGCACAGACCTTAACTAATTAATCCTCAAATACCTCTGTAAGATGAGGAAAAATCATTTAACAGATGAGGAAGAACATTGATAGAAAAGTTGTCGTATGCCCAGAGTTGCACAGCCAAGAATGCTAGAGCTAATACTGGAGTACAGGCGTTGTTTGATCCCAATCCTGTACTCATTCCCTCATACAGTGCTGGCAGTAGAAAATCAAAAGCTTCTTTTTTATCAGTGCCATCAGGAAGTGCATAGCTTCATTTTTTTGCACATAAAATTATCCTTTCTATTTTGATATGACAGATACCTTTGAAACGTTTAAGGCCAGATCTTAACCTGGTATAAATTAACGTAACACCATTCACTTCAGTGGAAGTGCCTTGACTTACACTTGCTGTGAATCTGGCCCCAGTACATGTTACATCTGGGGACCTTGTTGCTGAGTCTTTCATCTCTTGTCTGGCCCTTTTAATGTCAGTGGTTTTTGGTTTGTTTCCTCCTCTTCTTTCTCTGCAAGCCATCTGGTGCTCAGAGCACTTAAGAACAGAACTGAGTTCCTGGTTGGAGGGATTCAGGTGGTATGTCTCAACTAGACCTGGTCGGGAATTTTTCGATGAAATGTTTTTTATCAGAAAATGCTGACTTGACAAAGCTGAAACTTTTTGTGGGAAAGGGGCTGGTTCTGAGGAATTTCCTGTTTAAAAATAAAATTTGGGCGAGGGAGGGTTGAAAATGCCAAAACAGAGTTTTTCAACAATTTCAGGAAAGTTCAATTTTTCAATTAAAAATAACTTTATTTCAA